ACTGTATTGTACACCTGAAACTAATAGTACACTGTGCTCACTAATGGGCATGTAAATTTAAAAACTTTAAAAAAATAAAAAAGAAAGGGGCAAAAGGATTAAAGAAAAGTTAGAAAGGGGACCTTGCGTCAGGTGTTAGTTTGGGCACAGGCTGCTCCCAGCCCCTTCCTCCCATTCCCGGGACTGTCCCAGCACACAGGTACCTAGCAGAGTCTAGGCTTCTCAGGTTACCAGCCTCCTCCCTGCCCACCTGTCCTCAGGCCAACCTGGCCAGGGCAAAGGTTTGCGTTCCAGCACCACCCCTCTCCCTCAGCCTTGGTAGCCTCCATCAGGTCAGGTGAGTCTGCTGAGCTCCAGGCTGCCGGGAGGAGGCTTCCAGAAGGGCATGCCTGCTGGGATCATGGCCCATAGCCAGGCCCCGGAGCTGTGAGTCTGACATCTCCACCTCACCCACTCCCCAAGCTGGTCCCCATCCTTGTGTCTCCTACTCATTTATCCCTGGGTCTTCTCCTCTGCTTATCCTTTGGCCAGAGAAGTGGGAGAGGGTTTTTGACACTTGCGGGTGGGAGGCTCCTAAGCATCTCCAGGAGGCGGAGGCTCAGGCTGAGCGAACCTCCTGGGGAGCCACAGCCCACAGCTGTCTGGGAGGAGGGCTTGTAGCCTGCAGGGTCAAGCTACATACTTGCTGTTGCTTATCACTTTGCTGTGGCTCCTAGAGAAGGGCCTCAGTCTCCAATCTCTGCTCTAAGCTTCTGGCTTGAAGCCAGGGCAGACCTGGCCCTGAGGATGTATGGGCAGAACTCAAGGGTTCCTTGTCCCTGGAATGGAATGTCTCCTTTGCAGTCTGCACTGGCCAGAAGGCTTGAAGAGTGAAGAGATCAAGAAGTGTGGCCGAGAAGGGGTAAGTGTGTGGAGGCTGACTTTTCACTGCCCACCAAGGGAGGGGCCCAGGGCTGCCTGAATTTAGTGACTGTTGGTTCCTTGGCCACCAGGCTTGTCACCAGGGGAAACCCAAGTGAGTGTCCCCCTCCTGGGTGGGGGTGGTGTGTCCCCCTCCAGTCATAGGCTGCCCATTAGGATCTACCGTCACCGAGAGACATGCTGTGCTTGGAACTCAGCCTTTCACCCCCACTGGCTGCTTACTGACTGCTTCATACCAGAGCCCCTGCCCCTGTGGCATTATTTCCTGGTGGCTGGTGCAGGGCCCCTTTAGTGGTCTGATCCCCCAGGACTTCTCAGCCCCAGCTCGTGTGTTTGCAGACACTACTGAGTAAATACAACCAGCAATACCACAAGCTGTTTAAGGACATCCCTTTGGAGGAGGTTGTTCTCAAAGGTGAGCTATCTCCCTGGTGTGGCTGGACAGGTGCCTAGAGTGCCTGAGGCCCAGGTCCTCTCCTCCAGAGCCTCCAAGGCACAATTTTGATACGGGAACTGGCTGCCCTTTGGATGTGGTTGGGCCTGTTTTCTTCAAAAGTATGAGAAGACTGGGTAGATTTGGGACATGAAATGGAATTTATGAACGTTTTCTTGAGGCAATATCAGGGCTTCCAAATCTTATTTTTGTTCTGCTCTTATCAATGACTGCTCTTCCCTGCTCTCAGTGAGGCCTCTCAGTGAGCAAGTTGGAGCATTTGCACAATCGAGGCTCTCTCTCCAGGGCAGGGCTGAGCAGGGCAGGGCAGGGCAGGGTAGGGCAGGGAGTTTTGCCTGAGGGAGCAAGAATCCAGGCTTGGGGAACCCTATGAGACATGAGTGGCAAAGGAGGGAACCTCTAGCAGTTTGGTGGGGTAGGGTGGGGCAGTCAGGACTCTCAGGAAGGACTCTGGGTGCTGGTGGAATGGGTGGTTTGGGGCCTGGGGTCAGGAAGTGGGATTCTGAGGAAGGCAGTCCCTGAGGCTGGGCTCTGGACTCCTGAGTGTAGGACCCAGGCCGTGGAGCTTCAGGGTTGGCCTTGCTCATGGCAATCTTCTTTCCTGTGACTTCCCAGTGTGTTCCTGTGCCCTCCAGAGGGACCTTCTTCTCCAGGGCCGGCTCTACATCTCCCCCAACTGGCTCTGTTTCCATGCTAGCCTCTTTGGCAAGGATATCAAGGTAGTAATAAGTGGTAAGGCCTGCAATGGGCCCATGAGGTCCCAGCCAGGGAAGATATAGGCCCCTCCCGTGCAGGCATGCAGGCCTGTCACTACAAGACATCCTACCTGGCGTCTGGGGAGGGCCCCCAATCTAGACTCCCCATCTGGCCTGAGCCGACCTGAACAGCTCATAGCAAATTTATTCTGCCTATGGGTGCCTCTGAAATGCCTTCAGAATCAGAGTGGGATGCCACATTTAGAGGGAGCCATAATTGTGGCCAGGTGGTAGCTCAGGGGACTCCATTACTGGAGTATGGGATTCACCAGAGCAGCCGTCCTTGGCCTCCTGGATAATAGGATGAGAGCCCAGAGTGGTGTGTGCTGTCAGAGCTGGGGCAGGTTGGTAGAGCTGGAAGCGGAGCCTGCATGAGAAAGTGGATAGTTCAGATATTCTTCAGCATAGGGCCAGGCTTCTGCATGGTGTCTATGCTTGTCTGATTGCCAGTTGTGGCTGGGGCCCTATGCAGGAAGCAAAGGGACCATGGCCTTTGGGGTGGATCCTAAGAGAAGCACTCCTCTTCCCACTCAGGTGGTCATTCCTGTGGTGTCTGTGCAAATGATCAAAAAACACAAGATGGCCCGGCTCCTTCCCAATGGCCTGGCCATCACCACCAATACCAGCCAAAAGGTCAGTGAGTCTCTGGGCCAGCCATCCCTTGTTAATTTCCCCAACCCAGCCCCAGGATCCTGACTCTGGCACTCACCCCAATCTGTACTTACCCCACCCTTTTCTGTTTTCCTTCTCTGTCCCAGTATGTCTTTGTGTCACTGCTTTCCCGGGACAGTGTCTATGACATGCTGAGGAGGGTCTGCACACACCTACAGGTATGGAGCTCAGGGGCAGGAGCTGGCCCAGGGAGGCTGCTCAGGTCTGGACTGAGGTCTTGGGACAAGGCTGTTGGGAGTGGTTGGCCCATCTCTCCAACACAGGGACCAAGGGCAGGGAGAGGGGAGTAATAGGCTCAGGTCCAGCGTATCTGAACTTAGTCCTTGGACTGGGTGTCTATGCTTGTGAGCATGTCCCTTTGAGGCCATTGGCCCTTGTGTATCCCCTGTATATGGCCTCATTGGGCTTCCTCGATGTACAGACAGAAGCTTGTGGCTGCTTCCCAGTGTGCCTACAGCTCTCTCTGGCCCACGGTGAGGAAGTGGGGGAGGGGCAGGAGCTAGGGGAAGTATGTTGCCTTGGATTTGTGCTCTGCTCCAGCATTAGCCCCTGCAAACTCTGGGAGTGAGGCTCCATCTGACCCAAGGTGGCTTATGTGGAGGTAAAGCTCTCTTGGAGAGTACTAACACCTCTTCACCCCTGACCTTGGGTGTTCCAAATGGACAAGTGACCCCTGTTCCCTTTCTTCTTTAGCCTTCCAGCAAGAAGAGCCTGAGTGTAAGAGAATTTCCAGAGGAACCTGAGTGCGAGTCTCTGGTGAGAGCTGAGGCTGGCAGGAACAGTTGCTGGCATGAGGGACCCTATGCCTCTGAGGCTTCAGGGCCTCCCAGGAGGGTCTACAATGCAGAACTTGGGCTCCAGGTTCAAGAGCCAGTGGCCATGCTCTGCCAGGGAGTCCCCTAGACCCACCATGCTCCATACCATGTAGAGCCACTAGGTCCTGGGCAGCTCTGTGGACTTTCTGAGCAGAACAGATGTCCAGCCCCCAGAACACCACCCAGGTTGGATCCCACTTCTGTACAGACAGAGAGCCAGTGACCCACCCTCTTTCCTTTAGCAGGATCAAGAGGGCCTTCCAGGGGATAGAGATATCCTCAGGGAAGAACTTCAAAGGGTATCGCTGTAGAACCCAGACAGACTCATTTGAGATTTGCTGCGGCCCCAGCAGTCTCCTTTGCTGTTGGGGTTGTGGGTAGGCAGAGCTGAGTTTCTAGAACAGTGATGCGGATGGAAATGACCCCAGGGTGTTTGAAGCCTCCTTCATTAATCATTAAGCGTTTAGCCAAGCATACGATATGCACACTTCTATGCAGGGGATAGAAGGTGATGTTCCCATTTTTGTTGATGGGAATCCTAAGTGTCCCCTGCCAAGGTCAGTGATGTCCTTAGGGTTAGAGTCCAGATTAGAAGGACTTATCCCATCTAAATTATATTGTGCTGAGCTTTCTTGGACTCAGCAGATCTGAACATATACCTGGGTTAGCTCGCGTCTTAGATCCCATTCTGGTTCTGTACTAGCAGTCTTCGGAGACATTGTTCCCTGGAAGAATGGCTGGTCACAGCAAAGGAGCAGATAAGAGATACATGTGGTTGCTATGGTAATGGTTTCTCCCCTTGTGGGTACCTGACATCATGCTCACTAGGATTCCATATTGGTAATATCTGGAGAAGGTGTGATAAACCTAGTGTGGGCCCTTAGGACAAGTAAGATCCCAAGGGTCATAGACGATTTCTCCCTCCTTCTCTGCAGGAAGTCCTCATCCCTGAGATGAAGTGGAGAAAGGTGTGCCCTGCCTCCAGGTCCCTGTCCCTTCCAGACAACATCCCTTGTATCCCTCGGGCATCCATGGACTCCACCGACAGCTTCTTTCCCTCCAGGAAGCCTCCAGGCTCTGGTGAGCTCAGGGGGCTTGTCCATGATCACGTTTGTAAAGACCAGGCTTTTCTTCCCCCTACTTCTGCAAAAAGGAAAAGTCACAACCAGCTCTTCCTAAAGCTGTTTCTTACTTTCTTCAAATCTATAAGGGAAAGCAGCGTCCAAGGAGCTTCAGAAAATGGGGGGGGGCGGGGGGAAGGTGGGCATGCTCCTTGCTGGGCTGGGCTCCTGCCTCCTGCCCCCAGAAGATGCCTAATTGCTCTCCTATCACAGAGAATGCTGTCTGTGAGAAGGAGAAACTGGAGGAGTTGCCCAGGAGCGACGGGGAGCTGAGGCTCTGGGATTGCCAGCTCCTCAAGGTCATCTTCGTGCTGTAGGTGACTATATTGGGTGGGGGTGGGGGGGGTGTCAAGCTCACCTGGGTGTCTGGCAGGGGCCTCTGTGTGTGGGGAGTTCCCAGGTCAACTGAAAGTCCTGGGCAGAGTCTGGAGGCTACATGGCAGGCCCTTCTGAAGCAAGACAAAATATCTCCAGTTTTTATTCATACAACCCTGTAATTTAGGATTAAGTCTGGCAGGATACGAAACTGTTGAATAAAAGTTGCACAGGATTGGGAAGGGGGAGGGCTGACCGAATTGGAGAGGGCCATCAGATAGACTAGGGGAGAGCCACAGCTTTCCTGCTACCTACCTTTAGAGCAGTTTTTGGAACCCCAGACGTGTCTGTAATTTGGCCTGAGGGCCAGGAGAGCGGTGAGCATGGTGGGGTGTTTCATGAACAGCCAGCCCCTGGCTTCCCCTCACCTTACCTCATGACCTTCCTCTGGTTCTGCTGGCTGAGTTCTGACTGTCAGCTTCAGCACTTGCTGGGGGAATGTGGACCTGTCTCCTTAGGGGATGATCTCTGTGGTCTTGAAAAGGAAGCACGGGATCAAGGTGGCCAGTCAGAGGGAGGGTGGGCTCAGTTTAAGGACCTAGAATTCTTGCTGGGCTTTGAGGACACCTCCATGGGGACGAGTCTCAGGACCCCCACGTGGCCTCTCAGAACAAACATGTCTAGGCCTGAATGTAGCTAAAGGGCAAGAGTCTCTAATTCCTCCAAGTACAACTGGAAGTAGCTTAGTCCCCACTCCTATTTCTGGTGAGCCTCTAAAAATGCCCTTTTCCTAGATAAGATATCCTTCTTATCTCTCTTTCTCCAGGATCTGCTTCTTGGTCATGTCCTCATCGTATCTGGCATTCCGCATCTCCCGGCTGGAACAGCAATTATGCTCCCTGAATTGGGATGGCCCAATCCCTGGGCACAGGTGATGCCCTGTCTCTTGCTAATGCCTCTGGGATTGAGGGTAAAGGATAGGAGCCAATTGCTATGGCCAGGCTGCATGTTATCCTGGTTGGACTTGGCCCTGCCCTTGTGCTGGCTTGATGGCCCTAAGCAAGGTTGGACAGAGTGTGCAGGGTGCACAGATCCCACCCTGACTCACTCCTGTGGGGCAAGAAAGGTTCTACTGATCTGTCTGTCTGCCTTTTAAGCTGTTTCTCTGATGTGGGCATCTCCTGTGTACAGGTAACAGCCACCTGGCCTTTGTCCCCACTTCTCCATGAAGAATGCTGTGCGTGCTAAGGTTCCACCAGTGATCGCCGTGGTTTATGCTGCTGCTGCACTGAGACTGAGTATGAAGGAACACAGTCCAGATCCTTCCTCCTCCCCCTAACTCTTATCTCTCCTGTTTACAAAGCTCCTACAATTTGGGGACTCGGACAAAGAGCCAGATTCTTGGAACAACTCAGAAATTCTGTATACTAAGCTTCAGCAAGCACTTCAGTGAAAAAAGAGAAAATTAACTTGTTCCTTGGAAACAGCCTGGCACAGGTGCAGAACACTAGGAGCCACCGGAGGGACAAAGGCCATGCTTTGGTTCCTGGAATGTACCTCTCCAACTGTCACGCGGCTCACTGCCTCAGTGGGACAGAGGCTCTAACCCAAACCACCAGTGGGGCTCTGCTCTCTCCCAACATACTGTGCTCTCACTTGCGCCCCTGAGAGTCTCTGTTCCGGGAGCCAGGCCCCTGTCAGGCCAAGGGCAGACTGGGGGAGAGGAAGGGGAGGGGGAAGCTATCAACAAGGAGAGGAGGGCGTGTGGCTAGGATTCCAGCTAGAGAGGAACGTTCGTGCCCTGTGCTGAGGCTCTATCCTGGCCACTCACAAAGAGGCTGGCTGAATCTGGAGGACAGTACTTGCAGCAGAGGATGGTGGCAGGGGCTGTGAAGGAGAGCAGAGGTCCAGCATTCTGTGTCCTGAGCTGCCACTTCCTGGTGAGACAGGTGGAGCGGGGCCTTTGATCACTGTGGTCACAGACCTGGTACTGTCTTCCCCTCGTGTGCTCAAACAGTTCTAAGGTCCCCCAGGCGGGAAGTAGGGGCTGGGGCTGGGGTGGGTGGGAAGGTTGGTGGCTTTGATTTGAGTTTTGCTTTGTACTCCCTGGCTGACTGCCTGAGAGGCCATGACCCATAGCAACCTGTCGGGAGGTGAGGCTGGGCAGCTGGGCAGTCGGGCACAATGGTATAGGGCCACTGCAGGGCAAAGCTCACTCATGTCACCAGAAATAAGTATGTTGTGGGCCATGGGGGGAGGCTTCTCCATTCTATGAATAAGGTAGAGGTGTCCAAGGTGGGCCTGGTACAGTGCAGGGACCAGGCCAAGGGGTTCTGTCTGATATCTCTGGGGACAAGAGAAGTAGGGGATGAGAAGAGTAGGCACAGTGGTAGCTTTCTTTTAGAGATTCCTCCTCTTCTGCCAGGGCCACCTGTTTTCTAAACAGCTCGTCTATGCCTCAGAACTCTGCCTGCTCTTCCTGGGACTCCCATCTGCTAAGACAGTGCCTTTGGAGGTTCTAGAGGGGCCTCAGTGAAGAGGTCAGAGGTATCAAGGGAAAGTCACTGGTGATGGGGTGAGTGGTGTCAGAAATAGCCACTGTTTTTCCTCCTTCGGACACCTGAAAGGTTAATCAGGGAGAAATCCAAGCAGAAATTATTTATTGCAGAGCCATGATTGTCCTATTAGGACAAACCCAAACAAGAATTGGAGGGACTGACTGCAGGTGACAAGTCCCAAAGCTCAGACTAGCAGTCTCTTCATCCTCACCCCATTGCGGGTTCTAGGATTATGCTTAGAGCCTGGGGGCGTTGCTTGCACCTCATCTGTATGTATCAGGTGAAACTCATTCCATTCTCCCCACAGCACCACAGTGGGGAAAACCCCATCCTTTTTTTGGAACCAGCCCCCTTCATCACTCCTTTCCATCACGTCTTCAGGGAAATACTTGCCCCAGTGTCTCCCGGCCCTGGTCCTTGCCAAAGGGCGGGGAGAGTAGGTCCATTCTCTTGAGCCTTGCCAGGTTGAGCCAGAGGCTCATGAGGGGCCAGCAGAGGTGCCAAGTCATGGGTAACGGTGCCAAAGTGCTGGTGAATCTAGTCTCCACCTGTGCCGCAGGCTCAGAAAGGGCAAGAGGCATGCTGTAGGGTGGGGTGGCTCTGGAGGCCCTCTTGGGTCCAGGGATTTCAGTGGTATGAGTGTGCCTGTCGCTCTGGAGGGCCCTCTGTTTCTCCCTTTGATTCCCCAGCCTGGTCCTCTGGGGCCAATGTCCCTTTTGGTTGTGCTCATTTGTAAACTGTGTATTTGTACAGACCTGCTTGCACTGGCTGATACTCCTTTAATTCCCTGAGAGATTGGTTCAACTATCCTTGGGTTGTTCCACCATAGCATTAGCCTTTGAAAATATTTTAAAATACAAAAATTTGATTTTTCTAGTGTCCTGTGGTATGGAAAGTTCATTTTTTATCTTTTGACTACTCGCGAAGGGTATCCTACTGACACATTTAGCACTCAAGAGACTGATGGAGCCCAAGTCATTCCCAGAATCCCCAGTACTCTGCAAATCTCACACGACTTTAGCTGAGCTGCCTCATACTTCAGGCATAATGGGAAGGGGAAGAGTGGCCGCAGCAAGCCTCCACAGCCTTCTGCCTCTGTTGGGTGGACACTGAGAATGCTTCCCCACTTCTCTGGGGCAGATCCCAAGCAATGTCCCTGGTTCGAATACTCCTGTGCTTTTTTCTGACTCAGCAATTGAAGTGCAGAACTCAGAACCAGAAAATTCCTGTGTCCTTTTCTGTGACTTTGAGCCTCGATTAGGGAGGTCAAACTTCATTTTGGGCCACATCACTTTTTCCCTAGGATGCCCCCTCTAGTAGTGATTCATTCATTCAGTAAATATTTTTAAGAAAAATTTTTTTTAACGTTTATTTATTTTTGAGACAGAGAAAGAGCATGAACGGGGGAGGGGCAGAGAGAGGGAGACACAGAATCAGAAGCAGGCTCCAGGCTCTGAGCCATCAGCCCAGGGCCTGATGCGGGGCTCAAACTCACGGACCGCGAGATCGTGACCTGAGCTGAAGTCGGACGCCCAACCGACTGAGCCACCCAGGCGCCCCTTCATTCAGTAAATATTAAGTGCAGACTATAAGCCAGGTACCATGCGAGGCACTGGGGATAGAGCAGTGAACATGTCAGGCAATGTCCCTGTGTGCCTGTGGCACCTATGTTCCATGTGGACATAAGTTCCAGGTAAATATGTAAATAAACAAAGTAACTACAGATTGTGAGTAGGTTCCATGAAGGAAAGAAACAGTGATATGAGAGTAAATATGGAGTTGGCTGTGGATGGCTGGTCAAGAAAGGTTCTCAGAAGTGCCATTTAGGCTGGTGAAAGGGCCAGCTGTGGGAGGAGAAAAGAGAATTTCCCAGAAAATGGATCAATAGCTGCAAAATGTAGGAAAGATGTATATGTCCCTGCACAGAGAGACTGTCCACATGACTCTACTAATCAGGTGGAAGAGTGATGTGAAAGAGGTTGGAGAGGTCAGTGCCAACAAGACATACAAATAAGTAAAAATAGGTAAACAAACAACTTGAATAGACATTTCTCTAAAGAAGAGACACAGATGGCCAACATGCACATGAAAAGATGCTAAACATCACTAGTCAATAGGGAAATGGAAATCAGAACAACAATCAGATACACTTCATACGCATTAGGATGACTACTCTCAAACAGGATACTAGTGTTGGTGAGGAGGTGGGGAAATTGGAGCCCTTATGCACTGTTAGTAGGAATGTAACATGCTGCAGCCACTGTGCAAAACAGGTTTTCAAAACATGAAAAGCAATTACTCATGATCCAGTAATACCACTTCTGGCTATATACCCAAAAGAACTAAAAGCAGGGTCTTGAAGAGTTATCTATCTGTACACCCGTGTTCAGAGCAGCATTATTGATAACAGCCGAAAGGTGGAAGCAACCCAGGTGTCTATCAGCCACTGAATGGATAAACAAAATGTGGTATATACATACCATGGAATGTTATTCAGCCTCAAAAAGGAAGAAAATTCTGACACACGCTACAACGCGGATGAACTTTGAGGACATTCTGCTAAATGAAATAAGCCAGTCACAAAAAGACAAACACTGTATGATTCCACTTCTGAGAGGTTCCTAGAATAGTCACAGTCATAGAGACAGAAAGTAGAATGGTGGTTGCCAGGGGCTGGGGGGAAGGGAAGTGAAAGCTATTGTTTAATAGGCATAGAGTTTCAGTTTTACAAGATGGACGGAGTTCTGGAGACAGTGATGATGGTTGCACAATAATGGGAATATACTTGACACTATGGGAATATACACTTAAAAAGTATCAAGATGGTAAATTTTATGTGTATTTTACCACATGTGTGTGGGCATGTGTGCCCACACACACACACACAGAGGTTGGAGAGGTAGGCAGGAGAAGGGAGTTTGGATTTTATACAATTCCTCAGTACTGCCAACTGAGATCTGAAAGTTTGGAGCTCATAGGCTCGGCGGTCCTTGAAACCAAGTGCTTTCTTTTGCTAGAGGAAATAAACCCATGGATATAATATGCAGAAAAATATGGTTGATAATCTACATGGTAATATACCCCCTATTCATTATTCTCAGGCTGGCTCATAGCAGCAGCATCACAGAGAGGGCAAATAATCTTTATACTTTTTAAAGTTGAAATGAGCTAACTATAAGGAAGAAACAGCTGCCTTAAATTTGGAGAAATTGAGGGAAATATATAATGCAGGGTTTTGCAACATGTGTGTAGCCAAATGAGAGAAGGTCATGAAAGGAGCAGGGGCTCTGGTGAAAAGGGCATTCAGGAATGAGGGGAGTTCTGGCAGAACTGCACCCCAACAGGGCCTCCTGTAAGACTGCCCACCCTCCTGCTCC